GGTGGCTAGCCACTGACGTCACACTGACGTACACTGACGTCACGCGAACATTCGATGGCATGGAAACATATATCCACCCCACTGGGCTGGTATATTTACTCAACCAGCAGGGCAAGGTAATACATGGTTTTTACCTCGCCTATTCACAAACTTTAAGCATCACTATACAGTTCGAAATGTTACAGAGATTTACCTTCGAACACTAATATGAATAAATGGCCCATTGGGTAATCGAGCCTTGTGTGGTTCACATAGGGTAACTATAAAAATGGTTGCTATCCAAGACATCAATACAATGATTTTGCTAAAATTGATGATTATCATTTTTGAAATATAGCTGAAATATGTAAAATTTCTTTCTATAGAAAAGTGACTAAAATAACAATATCATATTTATGGAAATTAATAAAACAAAATCAAACACCAAAAACCAATCAACATGTACTACTTAAATTCCAGTGGTAATATTTTAAATATTTTGAAGTGAACAGAAAAGTAGCCATAGTGTAAATACTGTCCAGAGTACATAATAGAGATAATATGCATACAAGATATATAATAATACAATAATAAGATATATAATACAATAATACATACTAATACAACAACTATACAATAATATATATATACAATATATATAATAATAAGATATATAATAATACAAGATATATACATAATTACCAAATGAAGGTGGAGTTAAACAATATCAAGAGTACATAACAGAGATTAATCTCTATAACATAACATGTATAATCTCTATTAATTACTCTTGATACTGTTTATAACTCCGGCCCACCTTCATCTGGTTCACATAGGGTAACTATAAATGGCTGCTATTCAATACGTTTATGCAAAATTTGATAATTATTATTCTTTATTATATGGCTGAAATATACAAAATTTCTTTCTATTGAAATATATAAAAAACAATAACAATATTATATTCTCATAAACCAATCCGGTTGTGTAACGGGCCCGTTTCTTTACCATTGTACTTATTTACAATATCTACAAATGCTTCTTCTATTTTTGCTGCATGCAGCACACTGCCACCGTGGGCATTTTTTGCATTGGTACCATGCACCACGCTTTGAATATTTCTTTAAACATTTGGCACAAGCATTAACGTCAACATCAACCAAATCTGACGTCTCATTTAACTTTGTTTTGGTACCTGTTTTCTCCTTTGACATCTTTGCTTGCGATTCTGAATCGCTTACACTTGACCTATCAGTGACATCACTCGATTCGTCGTTTTTAGGCCATTCTATTTTACGCCTGCGTGGTTTATTTGTCAATGTCGTACTTAAGGGGGTTTTCTTAACAAGCTGTCTCTTTACTATTTTTTTTTTGTGGGTTGAAGATGCAGGTGCTGAACTAGCTATTACTATTGGCTGTTTAGCCTTTTCAACAGACTCAGGTGTTGGCTTCTCTAATACTGCCCTCTTGGCAAATTCTGGGATCTTTGACGGGCTTTTTGCTATAACCGTGTCAGCATAGTGATCGACGAGTAAATGTTGTTGCCCAATTTCTCTTTTAAGTCCCTCACCCTCATACGTTTTTATCAATGTTTCAGTGCCACCATAAAAACGCGTAACTTTGTGCCTTTGTTGGCGCTCAATCAGCAGCAATGCATTGCAGTTACACATTGTAACTAACTCATACATCTTTTTCATAAGACCCTGTCTTCTTCTTGAAAAGACCACCTTTTCATTCGTTTTTTTCTCGATTTTTTCCACCAAAACGGGTCCACTCCGTATTGACCTTTTCCTGCTAACCTAAATCAAGGAGGAATGCTTGTTTAGTATATATGGAAGCAAATTAGGAAATAACTTATTTTTATGCAGACATAACATTTGCACATATTACAGTATTACATAACATGAGTAAATTGCTGAAATATTCTGAAATAATCACTTCACATAGATGCATCTGAGATGCAAGAAAGTAGAACAGTTTAGAACGTTTAGACTGCTTGTAAAGTGCTAAGTGTAGTGTAACATGAGTTAAATGACCTGCAATATGCAACTACAACTGGCCGGTGAAACAGCACAACATAATTTTTGTCACTAAAATATGAAATCTTTACTTGGACAGATTGTAGTAAATACCCTATATTTGACCAACGTTTCATCTTAATATGATTAATTTCACAAACAATTTTTTCAGTCAATTTTTTCAGCGACAATGTTTTAATAAATACTAAGCAATCTGTCACTTTCAAAACAGTTTTAACTGCAGCGTGTTTAGAATAACCAAAATTTTTCATGGTTACAGAAAACAATATTGTTTTTCGTAGATGTAAAAAAAGGCCGATTACTTACATCTGCCATCCTCTGGGTAACCTTGTCATCAGACCTCTTGCTGGGAGATCCTGCTGGGGTAGGAGTAAGCTTCCTAGACATCTTGCTGGGAGATCCTGCTGGGGTAGGAGTAAGCTTCGTAGACCTCTTGCTGGGAGATCCTGCTGGGGTAGGAGTAAGCTTCCTAGACATCTTGCTGGGAGATCCTGCTGGGGTAGGAGTAAGCCTCGTAGACCTCTTGCTGGGAGATCCTGCTGGGGTAGGAGTAAGCTTTCTAGACCTCTTGTTGGAGATCCTGCTGGGTAGGAGTAAGCCTCGTAGACTCTTTGCTGGGAGATCCTGTTGGGGTAGGAGTAAGCTTCCTAGACCTCTTGTTGGGAGATCCTGCTGGGGCAGGAGTAAGCCTCGTAGAGCTCTTGTTGGGAGATCCTGCTGGGTAGGAGTAAGCTTCCTAGACCTCTTGTTGGGAGATCCTGCTCGGGTAGGAGCTATTTCTTCTCTGCTATTTGCTGAAGTTGTCTGCTAAATAGGGCTAACAGAGAAATAAAGGCAAACTGCGGCAACCGTACGTGGGCTATAGTTACTAGAGCTCATAGGGTCTATGTCCCCCAGGGTACTGCCGGAACGTACCCTGGGTACGGTCCGGTATACCGGAACGTACCCTGGTAACTATCTGATATGGTTAGGTTAGGGAGTAGCGTCGGGCGGCTCCTAGACTCGTTAGTGGAGTAGGCGAGGTACGTCCGGCATATTAGATAGTACCAGGGTACGTTCCGGTATACACGGACCGTACCCAGGGTACGTTCCGGTAGTACCCTGGGGGACACAGACCCTCTCAGCATTACTAGAGCTAATAAAGGGGTAGTTTTTCTGAATGTGCGCGTTCATATTATTGTATGTTTTTACTAACTCTGCACCAAGTGCCCGTGGAGGCGATGTTCTCCGCGAAGGTACAGCCAGAGCACTTGGAACGTTTCAATAAAAATATGGTAAATAACCACGAAATGTGTTTGCTACCAAAGCAATTTTAATCTTGGAGCTATGCTAGCATGTTATATAACAGCCAGCATGTTATATATACATAACGGTTATTTAAACAGTACGCATGTTCTGCTCTATACGGGAAGGACTAAATTATGATTTGCTCTGGGATATCTTGGATCACTGGAATTTAAATGCTGGCTGTTGTAGTACTACTGGTTTTTCAAGAGTGAAGTTCAGATTTACTGAAGAAATATTATATGATTAAGTAGCATAAAAATGACTTGAAAGTAAGTCGCTACGGCGTTGATGATAACTTTACGTATTATGTGAGTATTTCACTGTGAGGTTACGCTGAGTTTAGCCATGTTGTCTATTTGTCCATATCACCTAACACCCAGCACGTTGACTGCGTCACCGATTTGACTACGGCACGAAATTTTCTATGGTGTAATTAGTAAAAATTTTGTTGCCATTTTTTTTTCATTAAAGTAAGTACTAACGGGACTAAATGTATTATCAAATTCTTTACCTCATAATAATGTTTTCTAACTAGTTTAAAATCCCCAAAACCTGGACGATTTACATCACTTGATATTATGATCCTTGACATTAATTGCTTTTGCTTACTATGGGCTATGTATAGGTCACATCGAACAATATAGTAAAATAGGAAGTATATGCCAGCAATTTAACCGTAAAAAGTGAACAGAATTACTTAATTACATTTCGTGAAAAAGTGAAATGTTTTTTTTACTTTTACTATTTACGGTGACATAATCACTTTTAACTGGGCGGCGCGACCGCATCATACCACACTCGCCAGCGACTTCGTGCCCAGGCGCGCGCCATGCTGTCTCGAATCTGCCGACGGAGGCAGCTTCGAGCGATCTACCTTCGTCTGTTCATCGGTCCGTGGATTCGCTCGAGTCGCGACGGAACATGCGCTCTCAACGGGTTCTCGCACCACTCGCCGCGCGCTCGAACTGTGTGCTGCGGCACCTAGACCCACGGAATGGAAGCTGAAAACGCAAGCACGCGGGGTAGGTAGATGTGCCTCCGTGCTGGCGATCTTCATGGACCACTGCGCTTAGTACTTAGTGTGTTACAGATATATCGACTGCATGACAAGTATAGGACAGAGCCCCGCATACATATGTAGTAGGATATGCTCTGGTCTCAACAAGTCCTCGTGCTCTATAGAGCTCGTAGTGATAGTTAGTGTTTGGCTGTCTGTCGACTAGACTCTCTCGAAATCGGGTGTTCTTGGCACTTTGCACAGAGCTCGACACGGATGAGAGCCGCTTGAACGCAGTCACGGGTGCTGTGGTCAGCTAGACGCCGTGGCCGCGGACAGGCCAGCCCGCCGTTGCTGGGACGACGACGGCGCGGCGCGCAGCAGCAGAAGGCCCGGCAACGGCTGCGGACATTCCCGCCAGATAGATTAGCCTGCAATGATTTCATGTGGCGGTATATTGGATAATATGGATATTAACTTATAAACATCCATTCCTTATTAATTTCGCTTTGATATAGTGATAATAATCACGGGAAGCCCACACAGAACGGGCGGGCGACGGATCAAAAAAATAAAAATAATAATATATAGTCCCCCCGATGATAGATAGCCTGCCGTCTAACTGTGGTAGACCCCTTGTTCGCGTTTACGGTTATCGCTGGGTCGCTTGCTCGAGCCTTTCAAGCGGTCACAGATGTTTCTCAGATATTTTGTATTCTGCAAGTGGCTGATTTTTAAGTCTGTTTGCTTTTTCTGTAGTCTTGGCGACAGCAGCGTGGGGCTAATGCGCAGTAGACGTACGTCGTAAGTCATACACTGAAAATCGTCTCAGACTGACGCGTGAGAAAGATTTATACTCTAGAATGGCAGCCTGTTAGTTTTATATAGTGGTTCAATAATGTAAATTACACATTAAGAATGTAAAAAAAAAACAGGTATTACGCTTCATAGTTGAGTCCCCCGAGCAGCAGCCAGCACAGCAGGGGCTGCCACGCGGGCCGGTGGCGACGTCGCCGCCCTTCCCCCGGCTGTCCCGGCCCGAGGGAGGTGCTCGCCGCCGCTTTGGCGCGAAGAGAGGAAGCACAGCACGCCGCCGGCGCGGGCCAGGGAGGCGGGGAGTCGGGCTGTCGTCGCGCCGCGGGGAGAAGGCGGGGCCGGAGACCCGTCCTGATCGGGCGGCGGCGGCTGGGTGGAGACGCCGGATCGCGCATGGGTGACGCTCTGCCCGTCGCGGAGATGCGGGACTGCGGGAAAGGAAGGCGACTGAGGTCCCCCCCCGTTCTGCCCCCCTTGCTTACCAGTCATAATACCCCACGCTCCACCGCCGCCCCGTTGCCGCCACCCCTCCAATCTCCCGCCCTCTCACGCCCCCCCCCCCCCCCCCCCCCCCCGCCTCGCCTCCCCCCCCCCCCCCTCCCCCCCCCCTCCCCCGCGTGCGTATGCACCCCCCCCCCCCCCCCCCCCCCCCCCCTCCCCCCCCCCCTCGCCCCCCGCCCCCCCCCGCTCGCCACTCATTTTCGATTCACTTGCACTCGCTTGACCCCACTCTCCCCTTCATTCTTCCGCCGCTTCGCTTTCGTTCTCCCTTTGCTTGTTTCTCGCGTTTTCCGTAAGACACTGACTGCGCACTGTTACGCTCACATTGATTTCCGAATCCCATGCGGCATTCGCCGCCGATTCTATTTTCATTCTATGATCCTCGTGTAGGTTCTTCAGCCCGCAGGAAGCCTACCTAAATTGCCATCCTACTCCTCTGCCTGCCAGACCTGCTGGAGTGTTAATGCGCAGCCCGCGCCCCCCCCCCGCCCCCCCCCCCCCCCCCCCCCCCCCCTCCTCTCGCTGCGCACTCTGCGACCTACATCGTCTACCAGTGCTCACGGCCGCCGCCGCCGCCCTTCGAAGGACCTGCCCACTCGACGATCGTCGCTGCGTTACCAGTGCGTCGCGACGTGGCTCGCGACCACACACTCGAGCTTGTCGATAGACAAGGGTTGCCTCAACACGGGGCCTGTCTGGAGGTCGTCGAGATGCGGCATCTCCTGGCAGCAAGTCAGGTTGGTGATCGTGCGACAACGGGCGTACGATCGTGACGTTGGTGGTGACAGTGCATGGCTGTACCAGTTAGCTAACAGCTGACAGTCCGGACTCGTGTTGACAGTGACGTCGCTGAATGACAGGTGAGCGCGTGACCCCAGTAGATGGGCCGATGGATGACTCTATTGTCGCCGGGTTGCTGACGAAACAGAGGTGAACGTGGATGACAGGGAGGCGTGACAGTAATGTGGCAGTGACATTGGTGAATTTTTTGGGACAGTGACGTTGAGTTGACATGTGAGGGGATGACAGTATTGTGGGCAGTGACTTGGTGATGCCCGCGCGCGGGCTGCAGTGACGGTGACGCACGCTCGTGAGGGATGGGCAGTTAATGGTGCAGGGTGGGACATTGGTGATGACCGGTGATGACAGTAGTATACAGTTATGGTGACAGTAATGGGCGGGAAGTGACGAGATTTGGCTGATGACAGTGAACGTTGGCGTGACAGTGAGGGCGGTGACAGTAATGCAGTTGACAGGTCTCTCTTCGGTGATGACAGCTGCATTGCTTAGCTGGACAGTGAGTGGCTAACAGTAAATGGCAGTGAACATTGGCGCGCAATGACGATGACAGTAGTTACAGTGATTGGTGACAGTAGTGAGCAGGGAACTTTCGTGATGATTGGTAACTGTCTGTAACAAATGACGTGTGTTGGGTGCAGCACCGAGTTGTGTGGTGTGGCATATGTGTTAGTTGCTGTGCTGTGGTGTGGTGTCGGCATAGTCGTTACGTTGTTGCGCTGTGCTGTTGGTGTGGCATAGTGTTGCCGTGCTGTGCTGTGATGTGGTTGGCATAGTGTTACGTGCTGTTCTGTGTGTGGTGTGGCATTGTTTGTTTACGGTTTCTGTGCTGGGCA